ATCACCGATAATATCACCAGTATATATTCTATTTGTGTTTTCCCTTGTAGGTCACAGTAACAATTTGGATTCCCATAAAGAACTTCTCATGCTTACACCCGGTTTGTTAAAGATTTCTGGAGTTAAGAGAGGAAAGGATAAAATGAAATCAAAGAGTAAGATTTGGTGCAGTGTTATTGTTTGTGGTCTGTTCTCAACTCTTGTTGTTTTCTATTCTGGATTAATTATCACTTATCTGATTAAATTACAACTGACTTCATATCAATGTAATCCTTGTCTGAACACACAGAGTGTTTAAATTACAACTGACTTCATATCAATGTAATCCATGTCCGAACACACAGTGTTTAAATTACAACTGACTTCATATCAATGTAATCCATGTCCGAACACACAAGTGTTTAAATTACAACTGACTTCATATCAATGTAATCCATGTCCGAACACACAGTGTTTAAATTACAACTGACTTCATATCAATGTAATCCATGTCCGAACACACAGAGTGTTTAAATTACAACTGACTTCATATCAATGTAAGATTTCTGCCTGTAATTTTTGCTTCGCGATTCTAGCCAACAAGGATTGTTTCCGGCGCTTCAAAATAGCTAACTCGGCTTGGTCGTCTTCATCCCCATCTGAAAACTCGTCAAAATATCCGTGTGGTTCCGCGTGTGAGACTGTGGGTGAGTGACGTCGGTACTTTGATGTGGAAGGAGACGACTTAGGGATGGCAGTTGAGCTGTTCGGTGAATGGCAATTCTCTTCCTCCGCGGTGGACCGGTGCAGAATTTTCCGTGCTTGCCCCAGGTGTGAGCTTCCACATCGAGCTGGCAGCCAGAGCATGTTGAGCAACGCTTACTTCTTGGCATAGCGAGAAAGTAAAATGAAAATAAAATGAAAATAACCCAAACAGAAATAGCTGGGCACGAACAGCGTGCGATGTAAACAGTGCATGTAAACAGAACGAAGCAAATGGGCTACAATAATCATGCGCAGTAAGCTTATGCAAATGAAAAGTATTCAAATGAATAATTAACAATTTTAAACTGCTTACAAAATACAACAATTACAAGTGACTTCATTTCAATGTAATCCATGTCTGAACACATAGAGTGATTAAATTACAACTGACTTCATATCAATGTAAACTATGTTCAAACACATACATGTAGAGTGATTAAATCCTGGAAAGCTCTACTTAAACAAATCTTTGCTCAGAAACCTTTGTCTATCAATTAAAATTTAAGTTTATTCCATGATTCAGGTGCATTAGGAAAATTATCAGCAAAACCATCAAATGATGTAGAGTCACCTGTACCACCAGTGTTTATGACACCAGGAATGAAGCAAATCAAGGGCAAACAAACCCTGCCTCAATATCCATTACAATCTACAATCAATAAAGGTATGTAGTTAAGTTTAAACCAATCATACACTTTCTATCTACCTATATTTACACTCAATTATTTATCAGCAACAAGCTAGATAACAGAAAGAACTCCAGGGTTATACAGTACTCATTTCGCCAAACTTCCTGTCCGCTTTTCAATCGCAGTTTTTCGCTCATTTGCAACCAATTGTTGACAGTATCTTTGTAAATATCTAGAAATATCTCGTCTTTTGATAATAGTTATGTTTGTAATGGCCATCAACTGTGTTGAAGTAATAATTTGTTTGGAATATCGATTGCTGTTAGTTTCTCCATACTAAGTTTAGGACATGCGTCGGTCCTGATGTCTGTCATTCAACACAATCAGCAGAGACAGGACAAACGTTGACCGCAATTCACATAAATTATGTTCAGTAATTCTAAGGCTGCAACCCCAAATAATTAAACAAGTACTATTTATTAGTCCCCGTTCGGACACAGTCCAAAAACGGGGGACTTGTGTTTCAAGATGACTCAAGATTCAAGATGATTCAAGATGGCCGAATGGCAGCCATTTTTGTACTGTATTCCTCGGCTGTTTACAGATGGATTTTGTTCAAACTTGGTATATACATTGGACATTATAGGAGCTTGATGCACATCATTTTGTTTGTCAGATGAGATTCAAAATGGCCGATTGATGGCCATTTTGTTTTAATGAATGTGGTTCTCGTGCCATATCTCTGACTTGCTTTGACAGATTATGTTCAAATTTCAAATATTCATTTTACATCATGCCATAGATATACAGTAATATTAATTTGACAATCCTATTAAAAATGGCCAAATGGTGGCCATTTTTGTGCTAAAAAAAGCATCTCTGGCATTTATGGATGGATTTCGTTCAAACTTATAACATACATTAGACATGATGAGTTCCTGATGCACATCATTTTATTTTTCAGATCGGTTTCAAAATGGCTGACTGTCTGCCATTTTGTTTAAATTAATGGGTACTAGAGCCATATCTCTGACATGCTTTGACTGATTATGTTTAAATTTTATATATTCATTATACATTATGTTATAGATATATATATGTATATTCAAAATGGCTGATTTTGTTTTAATTAATGCTGTTCCACAGCAATATTTCTCAATGTGGACAAGTACTTGTTTGATGATCAGATACAAATGTCAATCATTTTACAGCAAGTCTCAGAAGTATTGGGGCAGCCAATTTGCAAACTCGCTAGCAAATTGGCTAACTATTTGGGTTTTGACTGAACTGTTGGCTTTCGAATCTCGCTGGCGCCGTCAGACGAATCTATGTAACAGTAGGGAACGATCCTAATACTTTATGAGCCAATCAGCGACGGTTTTTACAGTTGGATGGCGATTTCGCTTTGAAATATACCATGGAAAGTCTTCTATGCTCTTCGTGTCCACACAAAAACCACGAATGAGATCGATTTTTTTCCGGTTGGCTTACCCCAACGGATCGTTTGAGTGTGTGAAAGTTTGTTATTTTCTCTCTGATTTGTAGGAAACTGTTTCTCAACTTGTCTATGTGGTTTCAAGCAGTGTTCAAGAAGGTTAACCTCATAATAAATATCGGTAGATTAATCGCATTTATAATATTATCATGCCAGCTGACTGTGGCCATTTTCGGGTTCAAATCATTCAGGGGAATCCAGACATGTACCAGCCCGAGGATGCGTAAAAACATTATGTCCCCTAATGCAATATAGACTCGCCAAGAGTGGACGCGATCACACACCGGCGCCAGCGAGATTCGAAAGCCAACCGTTTAGTCAAAACCCAAGCAGTTAGCCAATTTGCTAGTGAGTTTGCAAATTGGCTGCCCCAATACTTCTGAGACTCGCTGTAATGTTAAACAATCATCATAATCATATTCCTGACATAATTATATTCCAGCTATATTACTATAAACAAAACTATATATCTTAAATTCGATAAATAACGGGGACTGTGCCATGCATGGCTTGTTACAAACTGGGGCTAGACGTGCAACCCAACACACAGTATGCAGGTACCAAGTGTCAAGCCAACTGAGAAAATTGTTGCTGGGATACAGAATAAACAAAGAGAAAGAAGTTATCTAGTATATGAATTAGCTAAAAAATTAAATATTTACACAATTACATGTAAATTGTATCATAGACTTTAGAAGGTTTATGATTGTATGCATGTACTTAAGTTTCAATCCATTTGAGTAAATAGTTAAGATACAAACATGACATGATGGAAACAGTTAATCATTACAGACTATCAAACAATCAACTGTACAAGTGATACTATGGGAGGAAACAAGCTGAAAATAGTATGAACAGATGAATTAGAATGGTCTACACAAACAGCAATCAAGTACAGGAAAACATGTCAAAACCGACCCCTGGATAAACCGACCTAATGTCAGAACCGACCAATTTATGTAGCTCCGAAATTTCCCCATAGACGCCTGTGTTAAAAGAATCTGTGAAATCCGACCACTGTCTATTTCGAACACTGACCACATAGATCAGTGTTCGGAGTTCAATATTCAAACTGAATACATCAACCATCCGAACAGTCGCACCACATCTGCTGTCTAGTAATCCGGTCTGCCCAACCTAAAAAGTGTGCATTGTGTTCAATTTACCGTGAACGTCACAGAAACAATACCAAATCTCACACTATAAGTAACATCCCAAGTCTAACAATGGCAACTGATTAAATTTTTTCATACCACACGCCCATGCATCGTGTGTTGTCTGGGCAGTCTTATGACCCCGGATATAAAGAAAATGATCGGCGTCATCACCTTCAGTTACTGTGAAGTGCACTGCATTATCACTTCTTCAACGATCAAAAGACATTGAGTTTTCTTCTTTTCATAATGATTCTGATTGATAATTTTGTGCTTTCGAAGGTTTCCATAAAGGGGGCTTCAGGAAAAAAAAGGGGGGGGTTCAAGATAAAAGATAAGTCAATGACTTATAATTCGGTCTCTGTGCGTCCATGCGTCCGTCTAGAGTCATATCTCAGAATCCCTTGGACTGATTCCGTTCATTCTTTGCATGTGCCTTGTACTTTATGTGCGACATATGCACATGCAGTGGTTTAGCGATTCAATTCAAAATGGCCGACTGGCAGCCATCTTATTTTTTTGAAAATGTTGTATTTTGGACATGCTTTGTCAGTTTTCATTCAAATTTGGTACATAGATCATACATGTTAGGATACATGTCCCCGACCGTCCGCGAGTTTCTTAGTCTGTCTGTCCATCCGTCCGTCCGTCCTTGCGTCAGTCTGTCCAGAGTCATATTTCAGAATCCTGTGGACCGATTCCGTTCATTCTTTGCATATGCCTAGTACTTTATGTGGGACATGTGCACATGCAGTGGTTTAGCGATTCGATTCAAAATGGTCGACTGGCAGCCATCTTGTTTTTTGAAAATGTTGTATTTTGGACATGCTTTGTCAGTTGTCATTCAAACTTGGTACATAGATTATACATGTTAGGATACATGTCCATGATGATTTATTTCGCAATTGGATCAAAGATGGTCGACTGGCAGGCATCATGTTTTTTTTATATGTGGTATCTTGGACGTGCTCTGTCAATTTTCATTCAAATTTGGCACGTACATGTACTTTATACATGTTAGGATGCATGTCCATGACAATTTGTTTCAAAATCTGGTCAAGGATGGCCTGATTGACAGCCATCTGACTTTTTGGCCTTACTACTATATTTCCACAATTTATGTACCATTTTCATTCGTATTTGGCACATACATCATACATATCTGTGTGTTTCATAATCAGAGATGGCCGAATAACGCCTGTTTTTATTTTTGGCCATATTACTATGACACGGAACACTTGTTTTGATGTAAATAAAAAATCTGTTGTATATGCCACTTGGAACTCAAGTTTCAAGGACACGCTCGCGACAACCCCACGCTTTAATATGACGAGCACAAAGAGAACTTTCAAAAATTTAACTGAGACTGTGTCATTTTCAATGACTTGTTGTTTCAATCAAAGTCACGTCCACCCTGAATAAACAGACTCCCTCTGAAAACCGACTATAGATCCCAGTTTCAATGTACAGAAAAAAAATTCCAAAACTGATTCAATATTATGCAAATTACCTAACTAACATGCATGGATTTGTATCAGAATCTAATTAGGTCTGGTGTTCAGCTGTATAATAAATTTCATCCAAATCCGGTCAGCAGCTTTTAAGTTATAAGTGCAACAAAATTTGACACACTCACACGCAGGCAGATGATACGACTTAAAGTGCTAAGATAAAGGGGTGTAAGAACTTATGCGTAGCATTGCAGTTTTATTGGGTAACAATAGTGCTGCTTTCCTTATTGTAGTTCAGTTTCTGCAGCACTTCTGTATTAATTCTGCTTAGTTGTACATGAAATTGAAAAACAAATATTTAGTACAGTAACTACTTTTGTATTATGCTCTTGTTACCATGTTCAGAAGGAACATTGACGTCGTGACATCATATTTAAATAATATCTTGTTTATTCAAACATTTAGAAGAGTATAGGGTGACACCAACTGCACCTGAATTACAAAGCTATGCAATATCTGCCCCCACTCGTACTCCATCACCATTCATGATGACAACAGTTGAAGCTGAAGATGTACCAGAGCCTGAAGCACCAGAAATCACCACATGGATACAGGTAAAATCCTACATCACTATGTTTACATTGTAGCAAACAACATTAAGTTTTTGTCATTGGGAGCTTACATAAATGACAGAGGTGTGTCTATGCTTATAATAAGTCATGTCTCATTAATTTAGTATACAATAAATGCAATACATTTTGTATTTCACCAATTTTGTATTTACACTATGGTAACCTCAATAAATTATTGAAAGTTCAGCATTTGATTACAAATGAACTATAATGTTAATATTACCATTCCTTTATTTTTTGGAATATCTACAAGAATGAAATGATCAAATCCCTTTGATGACCAATATCAACACATCAAATTGCATAGTGAGTTATTACATGACTAGCTCTGCACAAGACTGAATCAAATGACATAGTGAGTTATTACATGACTAGTTCTACACAAGACAGAATCAAATGGCATAGTGACTTATTACATGATTAGCTCTACACAAGACTGAATAAAATTCATAATGAGTTATTACATGACTAGTTCTGCACAAGACTAAATCAAATGAAATAGTGAGTTATAAAATAACCAGTTCTACACAAAACAGAATCAAATGGCATAGTGAGTTATTACATGACTAGCTCTGCACAAGACTGAATCAAATGACAGTGAGTTATTACATGACTAGTTCTACAGAAGACAGAATCAAATGACATAGTGAGTTATTACATGACTAGCTCTACACAAGACAGAATCAAAT